GTCTATGAGAAATATGCTTTGCAATGAATTATACCACACTTCCCCACCCCCATAAATTGACATGTTGACAAGCTATGAGACATTAAACATTCAGAGGATCAGGCATTCTTCCTGTCATTATTAACAGCACTTCACTGGTAAATCCAGCTCAGATTTTTTGTTGAGACTTGCTTTGCAGGAAGAGGATACGATATGACAAATAAGGTGGAGCCAGACCACCCACGATAATAGACAGTGAGGACAGCAGGTGCATTTGGTACACCCAGGCACTGTCAGCTCCAGGCCATGGACTATGCAGGAGATAGTAAGTGCAAAATAGATAAATTGCACCTTCAGCTGTGGGGCTGAACGTATGAAGGCCTTAAAGGTACTCCAGAATTTTATTACTTGTAGAGCAGCAAAAGAGAAGCATCACCTCTGGAGGCTGAGGGGAACCAGGGAATCAGTGTGTGGGTTGATAATTAGTTTGCTAACCAACAGCTGCATAGTGTAGCTGATCCCCTTTGTAGTGAATTAAGATATACAGGGGACTGGAGTACAGTCCCAGCATTTTTATATGCTCTTGCCTTTTTTGTTTCCTATTCCTTTCTCAGCCACTGTCAAATTGCTAAATCACAGTATAGATCCAATATCCAAAAAGTCCGTCTTGGTTATCTCTTGTTTTCAGTGTTTTTTTATTGGCCAACTCCATGGTCACGAATGTTCACAACAAAGATATATGGACTTGCATATATTAACTAGATCACTTTGTGGTATGATCACTGTATCGGCCACAAGAACGGCAATTTCAATGGCAAATTTGTGAGTAAATCATGATAATTAGTCATTTCAGGATTTTTTTCCCCTGTTGATAGAAATCTTCATGCTGTTGCTACTGCCGAAAACAAATTAAGAATAACCTTGTCCAGTTACTAACAATATGTTCCAACACAGAATTGCAAATCATTATTACTCCTTTCTTCCCCAGGCAAATCACCTTAGTAAAGCTTTGTTACGGCCTATTCATACGTAGTTTAAACAATATTATTACTACTACAGTATTCTCAGGAAGGTAAAAGTGCCATCCACAGTGTCCAGGGAAAACAAACAGGCTCACTAGTTGCTAGCTTGTTTCCATTGGCAATGCAAGTGTGATCACAAGAAAATCAAAATCTCAAGACCAAATTCCTTTTGATAGAGGAGTTTGTTTTAATGTATCGTCCAGAAGCATTATTTCACCTGAGAGTCATTCAAAGGTTTCCATAAATATGGAATAAATATTTATCCATAAATATGGCTAAATATTTTTCAGATAGAGTTAAATAGACAGAGGTTTTAAACCCATTCTGATTCTGCCTATGCAGCCTAGGAAAGGAATTTTCCACTTTGTACTGCTGAGAAAAATGCAGACTCTGTAGGCTATGGTATCATGTCTAGAAGAACAAGGTGGGTAGGATAGGGCATTGGGCACTATTATACTCCAGGGAAGAAAGAGCAGACAGGGGCACAATGGAAGCGCTTCATTATATTTTAAATGGGAATAGTTCCAAGGATAGGAAAGCCTGTGGTGCTTGTAAAGGATTAAGCAGGGTAATGCGCTTTTTCAGAAGACATAAAGAGGTATGTAACGTGATATGCTTAAGCCTAAATGATTTTTCTTGGAGTCCTCAATGAATGTTTAAGCAGGCATGACTTAGGCCTCTGTAAATCCTCTCCAAATAAATAACTTCCACAAAAATAGAGGTTCCTTTGACAGAATGAGATGCATATTTCATATCCTATGCAAAAAAGGAAAATCAATTTGAGATACATGAAACACTTGGGAATAATAAAGAAAAAAAGGAAGATAAAAGTGAATATTCTCCAGAACAATCCAATCATGTATAGGAATACAGCTACACCTTCCCATCCATTTCAATTTGACAGAGCAGGAAGAAAAACAACTGAATGCTTCCCTACCTTCATTTCAGATCTTCAACTGCTTTTTGTTGGGTTTTTTTGAGAAAGGAAGAGACAATGAGTGGCAGAAAATATCTAAAGTACCTGCACTTTTGAGGCTGTCTCCTGTTTGAGGTATTTAAAACTCTGTTCTCTAGGGTAAATCTACCCAGCCGCTCTCTAACCAGACCTGATAGTGTATATAGCTGTTCACTATGGATGGAAAAGGAGCACACACAGTGATATCTATGCACCTGATTTATGAGAAGAACAGGACCTATAAATATCAAAACCTGAAAACTTACAACGGCATGATCTTCCCATCTTATTTCTCTTGCCTGTCCTGCCCTCCTGCCAGGAAAAGCAGGTCAAAGTTGTAGATTGCCTGATGCAAAATGGGGCTACGCAATCACTGTCATTTGTCTGTATTGTTATTTTCACTCACACAGGTGCCGTTTCCCATAAAGCCACTGGTACAGCAAGTATGCAGTCCTGCTGAGTGAGTGGGATGATGCGATGAGTCAATCTGTGGTTGATCCCTCTCCCCTTCTCCCTGCTTATATATATGTATTAGTATTAAACTGCTACTTTTCTCGAAATAAAAAGAGCACCAGCTCCACTCTAATTTGCAGAATAAAAGCAAGCCAAAACTAAAGGACTTTTAAGATATTAAAAAAAATGCATTTGGCAAAGCCTCTTCTGCGATGGCTACTTGCAGACGCCATTTAACCTCGGAGAGGGCGCAGCATGGAGTATTATTAAAGAAGAGCATGTCCATTGCATCCGTAACATCCTTCCTGCACACCTCTCTCCCATGGCCATCCCTCCTTTCACAGGCTCTTCAAGGTCATTAGGCAGCCTAGTGGAAATCCCTTTCCCTGTACCCATTTGGAAGCACTTGTTAAGTCTCAGCCCTCGGGTGGCACTCCAGGAATGTGTGCTGAGGTAACAGACTCTGACAGTTTGGACAAACTGCTTTTCAGTCATACTTTAGTGCTGATTAATGGCGGAAACAAAATGAAGCACAGAGGGAGACCTGTTGTTTTAGCTTGTCCAGGTTTATAATCTGATCAATAGCTCTGATCTGGCCAGTTAAATTTGCTCAAGACCTCAAAGAACATTTCCAAGTATATAAATAGGCTGAGGGGACCCATGAATTCTTTCCTCTGAATTTTTTTTTTTTGTTTTTGTTTGGTTTGGGTTTTTTTTTTTTTAAGTATGTTACAGAGATTATAATTGTACCTTTTTAAATATTAATTTTCCTTGCCTAATATTAGCTTTTAACATCACATTCTTCATCCAGATTTCTTCCTGAGCAAGCCAACTACAGTCTCCCAAAAGCTTCTGTGTGAACAGTGACTGGCAAATAATCTTATTCTGTGTCATTTCTTCCTATAAAATGAAAGAAGGGGAGAAACTGTGCACACATAGGTGGAGGTGTATATTCATTAGAATCAGGCGTGAACCCTCAGGTGTTTTACGGTTGGAGAGTGGTTGGCTTGCTCACACACTAAAACTTGTTTTTTCAACATAATTTACAAGTGCTTATTCCTGGGAAGCAGATGCATGGGAAATTAAAGAACTCAGATACTTCTGGTTTTGTAGGTTTTAGGATAGAAACTGCCATGTTTCCAGGAATGAGAAAACAGACTGTAATCTGGAATTACCTGCCAGCATGATACACCAGTTGTTTTTTTCAGCTAAAAGCCATTAGTCAACACAGCTGTGTTTGACGTGCTCTGGTTTCTGATTCTTCTGAAACCCTTAGTATAACTTGGGAAGGCAAACCAGAAGGACAGCAGCTCTTTTTTTTTTTTTTTTAATAAAAAAGGCAAACCCCAGCTTTATCAGCCCCCTACAAACTGAACTAAAATATGTTTTCTCAAAAAAAGCAATTTCCTCCAACCAATAAATCTTCAGAGTGTCTTTTTTTTTCTTGCCTTTTCAGCTTATGACTTTATCTAAAGGGGTTTCAAAAATGCAGTTCCCCAGGGCCTCTCTTGCTTCTTCTTTCATGCTGTTTAGTCCTTCAGAGCAGAAAATACGATCTCAGTTATACAGAGGATGGATTAGTGATTTTTAGAACTCCCAAGAATTTTTGTTATTTTGCAGTTCTTTTATTATCAAGAGTTTAACAGACTCTTTTCTCTTATGCATTAGTATCCAGTGTGAAAACACCAGAAATTACAGGTTTTCCTGGCAAATGGATTTTGGTGGAGACTAAAGGCAGAGTTGGTCTGGATTTTTAGAACCCTCTAAACCAAGCTTAAAACAAATGAACACACAGCTTCATGGATATTTGCTCTGATCTATCTTCACATTTTGAAGTTTAAAATACAATCTATAAAAGATGATATTTCTCCAATTTAATTTAAAATTGAATATGAAGACACAATTGGTAGGGGAAAAGTTAGTATACAGTCACTCACTTAACACATATTCATCCTCATACTAAACCCTTTCATGGACTAGTGTTGTTATAAAAGCTGTAGCTTTCAACCAAAAATATGGGAGGGAAACACTGCACTCACAAACGTGCCTACAAAAATTGACTCCTGTTCTCAAATTATTTCCCCACTGCTAAGACCACTACAGAAGTTGGCTGTGAGACTCTTCTTTAAAGCCAGATGATCTTTTTCTGCCTGCCTCTCTCAAAACATACATGACTCAGGCTACAACTGAAAGCCAAAATTTTCAGTGTCAGGTGTCTACAAAAATAAGTTAATCAATGTCTTGTATTCAAAGTGCTTTAAGCTTTGTACAGTAGATGGCCACATCTTCTGGGGTTTAAGTCCAGCGATCCTATTCCCATTTTGCATCCTGACAAATGCATCCATCTCTCACACCTATAAATGTTTTCAGAGAAAACACTCTAGGTACTTACATTTTAAAATGTCATTGAAAACAAGCTACATAGCTGAGAAGTTGCAACCCTCTGTGCTGATGCAATGGGCTTGCAGAAACTGGTACCCAGGTCATTATCTGGGTGCAAATGCATCCCTTACAGTTAAAAGCAACAACTGAGCAAATGTATTAAAGCAGAGCATCTCCAATGGGAAGCAAAAAATAAGTCATACCGGTACCTTTTGAATGCCTGCGGTCGACTCCAAGACGTTGTTCTCCGAACCGTTACTTCTGTTAATCATCCGCCACATTTGGGAATACATGCTGTCCCTCTCAAAAGGATTCATCCCTTTCACTCGGACGTGCTCATAGACTGCAGAGTCCAAGACAGTGCCATAAGGAATATCCGTCTGCCTTGAGAGATCCTGGAGAGACCTTAATTGTTGGAGAAGAAAAGAGACACAGGAGACTTGAAGCCACATTTTCAAGAGAAAGGAGCTGCAGGCAAGCAAAGGGCAACACACAGGAAGACAGCTGTCAAGCCAGTTTCTTTTGTTGTTTGTCTTTTTTTTTTTTCTTTTTTTTTTTTTTTTCTTAAAAGACAAAGTGAGTCTAAAAAATTGTTTTTATGGTTTAAGACACAAGGAGGAATATGAAGTGAAAGGAAGGGGTAGAAAATATGAAAATGACTGAAAAAAAGAACAATGGAGGGAGTAAGAGGATCTGTCAAATGCTGAGCTCCTTTGAGCAGGGGCAAAGGAGAGAAGGAAGCATCTCAGTCCCTCCAGCTATACGCAGCAAGTTTAACAGAAGTTGGGTAATTGCCTATGAGAGTATGGAGCCACCACATAGCCTGCTGCCAGGGAGAAGGAGTGTTAGCACCAGAACTCAATAAATTTACCCCAAAGCACCTGGGCTGAATACTTCTATGCACTACTGGGTTACCCAGTAAAGAACAGCTTTTTGGTTGTAGTCCCGCACTGAACTTTGCACCCGTCACACAGGCCACATCCTACACTATTTTCAGCAACAGAAAGTTTTCTGTTGTGGTTTCATGAACTGCCTTTTCATCAAGTTCATGTTATTTAGTCCAGTAAGTTTGTTCTACTTTACATATTATCGAGTCTTATCTGTTCCCTATAAACAAGCAAAAGTAAACAGTTTAGAAGTTGCTAAAGCATCCCAAATATTGTTTTGTCAACCCTACTTTGGACTTAAAAAGTTATATTAGAACCCTTCAAAGTCACCTTACCTCTTGGCCTTTACTTTCCTGTCCTATAGAATTCTCTCTGTACCTTTGGTTCTTTAATGACATTCATTAAAGTTTCAAAATAACTACTGCAGTATGTCTTCTGCCTAAAACTCATTACAGCTTTCCTGGCACAAATTAACTTTGTATAAACTGCACAAATCTAGTGGATAACACCTAAGGACAAATCAAGGGGCTGAATGCTGGCAATAGCAAATTGTAAATGATCATTGCAGCCACAGAAAAAGGAAGCATAAATGTAGGAAAGTCATCAAATTTCAAGTTGTGTTTCTGATGCATGTAAATACAGAAGATAGTGAAAATGGCCCTAGAAGGGGGAAAAGAATTCTTAGGTGTTCCAGGGATCACACTGAAGAGAACAGTAATCGGATCTCAAAGGATATGCATGCCTCTGAACACAACAGAAAGCAGGAAAAGAAGGAAATCAATAGAGCTCAATGGCAAGGGTTTAGAGGTTAGTTGAGTCAAAAAGAAATCCTTTGAAATTCAGACATATGGGATTAGAAAAACACTGAACAAGAGCTAAACTCTAAGCAGACAACATATAGCAAATATAAGGAAGGGATAAATTTAACTTTGAAGAGTAAATAACTAATGGTATTAAAACCCTAACAATCCTCTCCTCCTTCTCCAGCAAGATCATATTCCTCTTCAAGAACATAAGCAGCAGGGAACCTGCAAAGAATCAATACACATATGGGATCATCAAAGGTGAGCTGCTAGATGAAGCTTTTCCTGAAACCAAGTATATAGGTCTTTTACCAGAGGACTCAGATGTAAGGAAAATAAGTTCTGTGCCTAATTTGTAATTGAAAAGTAAAAAAAAAAAAAATTACCCAGCCCAGACAAACACCTGTGAGTTCTGAAAGATTAAATATGAAATGGCTGAGCTATTAGCAAAAATGTGAAATCTCATTACAGCCAGTGTGTGAAAGGGAAGCAGTAAATATTTTTAAAAGACTCTAGTGGTAATCAGGGGAATTACAAAAGTAAACTACTAAGATGTTATACTTAGGCTTAATAAATAAACAGAAATAAGGATACAATTTTAAAGACCAGTCCTGAAGATTAGACATAGCCACCAGTACTTTTCTCTAGGGAAAGCAATTCAATCCTCTATTAAACTTTGAAATTACTAAAAAATCCTGAGAATTTCAAAAAGGCCTTAATCTCACCAAACAATATACAGGAGGTGGAAGTTTGGACAGTCTACAAAGGAGGAATTTACAAACACTTCCTGGCAATTCTGGATAGCATTAGAAAACCCAGTACTTAGCTAGAATACATACTTTCAAGGGACTTCAAGAGTAGCAAGAGCAGCTTTTGCAGAACTAAAAGGCTGAACAAGGAAACTGTGGACCTCTTGAGGGGAAAGCAGACATGGCTAGGACTTAGGTGCTCAATGCCTTCTTTGCCTCACCCTTCCCCAACAAGGTTTCCCAGCTGTCTGTGACTAGAGGCAGGGCTCAAGGAGGCAATGAACAACCAGCAGTAGGTGGGCAGGTAAATCCAAACCAGACGAGACAGGGAGTGGTTGAGAAAACTAGACCCACAGCAGTCCATGGGACCTGACAGGCTGCATCAACGTGTGTTGAAAGAACTGGCCAATGTCCTTGCAAGGCTGCTTGCTTCAATTTTTGAAAGGTGAAGGAGATTGGAGGAGATCCCTGACCACCGGAGAAAGGAAATATCCAGACTACATTCAAAAAAGATGAAAAAGATGATTCATGGAGTTAAGACTGGTCATCCAACATCATGGAGTGAGTCCTCTCAGAGCCCATTTCTGAGTACATGAAGGAGAAGCAGCTGACTGGGAGCAGTCAACATCAATTTACCAAAGGTAAATCATGCCTGACCAATCTGCCTTCTATAGTAAAATGACTTGGTTTGTGGACAAGACTAGAGAAATTGATGTAGTTTACCTTAACTTTAGCTAGGCTTTCTATACTGTCTCCCACAATATTCTTGTATCCAAATTATGGCATTAGGTCTGGCTGGGTGGGAAACCAGATGGATAAATTCCTGGTTGGGTAGTCAAGCTCGCAGGTAGCTCACCTGCACGCTGGTAACAGGTACCATGGAGGTCTAACCTGGGACATATCTTTACCAATAACCTGGAGGAGGTGAGCAAGCACCCTCTTGTCAAGTTTGCAGATGACTTCATATTGGGGGACCATTGAATTGCTCAAGGACAGGCTGCCCTTCGGATGGACCTAGAAAGGCCGGAGAAACAGGCTGAGAGGAATAGTGTGAACTTCAGCAAGGACAAATGCAAAGCCCTGCACCGGTGGAGGAATAACCCCCTGCAACAACCCAGGCTGGGGCACAGCTCTGCAGAATGGCTCCTTGGTAGACAACAGTGAGCCCTGCTGAGAATTTATCTCTGTTTCACCATTAGGCAAAGTGTTGTGTAGAAGTGGGCGTATGACTGTTGCATTGACAGTCTATCTGTCTGTCAAAAGCATCACTGATGAAAGACACTAGATAAACACAACATACTACATTTATCCATTCTATTACAGCTGCTGCTGCCAATAAACTTCTGTATCTCCTGACAGTGCTCAGAAGCATAACAAACTGTCACAGGATGTATATTGTAATGTCCTGTAATTGCTGTGTTATTTGTATATTGCTAGAAAACTGTGCAAAAAGTATTTACTGAGTCTCCAATTTCTAATGACAACACCTAGCAAAATTGCAATCATTACTTTGCAAGGCCCTGTATAACCATATAATTTCTAATATAACAAGCAACAAAGCATTCTTCTGAAATATTATTGCTAACTGGTATATAAATGATATGTGTAGCTGCTGCCACAAAACAGCACTGTACAGTTAGCACGGAATAAAACCAGCTCCTCTGTATATCTTGTAGCTGTAAAAGCAACCTTGCTGTTTTCAGAAAGGCAAACACACGACACAAGCTGTTAGTCCAGAAGTGTACTACAATCAAGTGTGGGAAGTGTACTACAGTCTGAGAAGCAAGCAAGAGTGCCATCACACACAAAGGCATCACCACCCGCAGGGAAATAACAAGGGGGAGAATTATGTCAATGCCTTCAGGAAGGCATGTTGTAGCTGCCAAGTCTGGCATTAACTACAGTCTCCAGTTCTTTACTGTTTGGTGTGCTATCCTAACACACAGGATGCCTCTCAGCTGCCCTGCTCTGCATCTATTCACAGCTGCAGATGCTGCTCTATGCTGAGAAAATGATGGCAAGAGGACAAGAGCAAGGTAAGTATGAGTGTACTCTATGGATGTGCTAAATGCTGTTGTCAGAAGTAAACCACAAGTTTTGGGTCAGCTGACCCTACGCTGAGGAGTGAGAAAGAAATGTTGCGGCCTTTGAGGTGTACATGTGTGTATGCTGCTGCATAGGCAAGCTGCAAAAATGTAGAAACACCCTATCACATCAGTGACTTCATCCTCTGACACAAACATGTCAGATAGGATCGTAAGATATATAACCTCCTTCAGAAACTTTTTTATAACCTGCAACTCTGCAGACTACTGGTATGACATTCACAGCCTAGCAGCTAAGGTACAACAAAACAAAGAGAAATGACAAACCTTGACAGAACTAATAAAATTATTAAACCATTGAGGTTCCTTTCCAGAAGACAGAAATTTTATAACTACTTTGCCTCCAGCTTGGTCTGTAGGTTACACGTTGTTCGATGTACCTTTATTCCTGGATTAAACAACTCTTTCTCTGTTCAGACAAACACATTTAATGGAGACATAAATCCCCAGCCTCACTCTGTCACCCAGTCTCACCACACAGGTGCCACATCAGATCTCAAACTAAGGAAAAAGTATTTATCAAGATGATTAATTCCTATGGGGTATCCTTTGATGCCCAGATTTTGATACCGTTATCCACACTGGATGGGAATTCAATTTTGCAATAGTTTTACTGAGCTCAGTTGAACTACTTGCAAAGCAAAGCACACATCTGAGTACGGGAATTATAACCCCACATTTTAAAACATTTATCTCTATGAATTTCTAATTTTGAAACAGTAAGGTAATGGATGATAAAAATTGTTTAAAAGTAAAAAAAAGCAGGTATAGTTGAAAAAAATAGTTTAAAAATAAAAAAAACCTTTAACCAAGCTTGTATATAGATAAATTCTACTTCTAGGGAAGTGACCATGCAGTCAG